AGTGAAAAGCACGATCCAGTTAAACTAGATCCTGTCAGCAACATCAAACAGAATGTTCATACTGATTCCAAAATTGAAGCATTTAAAGTTTAGTAAGCAATCCTACAGTAGATAGGGAATAAAATTTACTTTCAGAAAAGACCACAGAGCATTTGGTTTACAATGGAAAAAGTAATTTTCTACAATCAAATTCAAGCCAGCTGTTTCTGCATCAAGCAATGGAGTAACAGAATCTCAGTAAATCAAAATACACCATGTATTCCAGTCAGGGGCGGAGCTACCTGCCCCAGCACCCGAAGAGGCGCGGGAACGGAGCTAGCCGGCCTGTGGAGGCAGGGCTAGCCGCCTGCATGGCAAGCATCTCTACCTGCCCACGCAGAGAGCGTGAGAGGGGCACGCTAGCCGCCCACTGGGAGAGTGGGGGTGGCGCTGCTAGCTGCCCATGCAGTGAGCATGGGGGGATGGCATGGCGATGTCACCCACCCTCATGGTTGACACCCGGTGCGTACCACACACCCCGCACCCGCCTTCCTTCGCCAGTGATTCCAGTCAGGGTTATTGCTAACCTACATTGGTCTGGTCTTGTGCTTTTACAGTCATACCTCGGGTTGAAATTGCTTCAGGTTGAGCATTTTCGGGTTGCGTTCCGCAGCGACCCAGAAGTAACGGAACACGTTACTTCCGGGTTTTGCCGCTCACGCATGCACTCAAAATGACGTCACGTGCATGCGCAGAAGCAGTGAATTGCGACCTGCGCACGCGCAGACACGGGTTGCATTCACTTCAGGATATGAACGGGGCTCCTGAACGGATCCCATTCACATCCAGAGGTACCACTGTACAGTATATTCGTTTCCAATAGGTTTGTGCCAGCAAGAGCACCTGAACCCACAGAAACAAAAACTGGATGTCTAGAAGAGTTTTTCTTGCTCTCAGATCAATTTCTCTTTGCTCTCTGGCATCTACCAAAAGTTTAAACATGCCCCTCCCATCTCATTGGTCACTCTCCCTTCCCTTCTCAGGCTATCCACAAAATGATGGAACAGTGAACTGTGGTGGATGTGCCATCGTGGAACAAAAATAAGGCTCCATTGCAAGAATCATTTTTTACAAGATATGCCCTTTGGAGAACTAGATAGCTCAATTGGTTAGAGCATGATGCCAAGGTTGCAGGTTCAAGCCCCATATGAGACTACTGCATATTCCTGCATTGCAGGGGATTAGACTAGATGATCCTCAGCGTCCCTTCCAACTCTACGATTCTATATTCCATGCAACACTGATTCTATGATTCTATGTTGGCATCCGTCTGTCTCAAAAGACAATGGAGTGTGACTCCAGGGATGAAGTCAAACCACTGCATTAGTAGCACTGAAGTGACCTCCCCAGGCGCAAGCCTAGGCAGTGTGTATGGAGGTCCTGGGCTGCCCAACGACAAGACCCCCATCTAGGCCTCACTGATGTGGTCGAAAGAAAAGTAAAGCAATAAGATTGGCACCAGCTTGGCTGCAGGAGTTGCCAGAAGGAGGCATACAAAACACCATCCAACTGTCTTATTAGAGACTCCACTCTGGATTTGTGTATTGTTTACTTCTTAGCCTTTTCTTCTCCCAAAGATATCCCTATGAAACATCATTAAATTACAGCAGATATTGGTTTCTACTGATTGCACTGTAAAAACCAACTATCTAGTGCTTGCCAGAGCTACCATGGGACATGGATTTGTTCTGAAGATCTCTATTTTGTACCATGGTGGCAGTGACAAGCACTGGATCTGTGTAGGCCCTTCTTCATGTGCCTCCACCACAAGAGGTCTGGAGAGTGGCAACACAAGAATGGGCCTTTTTCCAGTGGTTCCCTGTTTGTGGAATGCTCTCCCCAGTGAGGTTCACCTGGCACCTTCATTATAGACCTTTAGGCACCAGGCAAAAACATTCCTCTTTAACCAGGCCTTTGACTGACTGACATCCAATGCCGTTTTAAAATGGGGGGGGGGATTCATTTTTTTGTTTTTATTTTGATTATGTATTTTGTGTTCTTACATTGTGATTTTATCTTGTGAACCGCTCTGAGATATATACAGATGTTAATAATAATAATAATAATAACAACAACAACAACAATAACAACAACAACAATAACAACAACAACAACAACAACAATAATAATATTCTTATAGATCAATCCAAGGAGACATATATCATCCATCATTTGATGGTGTCCTAGGGGAAGCTCCATGTAAAAATCATGAAAATACAAGAGGATCTGTTTTTAATCCAATTTCCATGTTTTCTCTTTTTCCATGCCCCACAGCAGCTATTTTGAGACTAGTGCCCACAAAATTCTCTCAGGATTCCACATACCCACAAGTCCAAAAGGTTGAGGATCACTGACCCATGTGCTAGCTTTGCCAGATTTTCTCACCAATGTATCAGTTGTGTCAAATGCCAGCCCTATCACAAGGTTGAATCAGTTGCCTCAGGTACAAAGAGTTCCATGGACATAATGAAAAGGACAGGTATTTAACCATATAAGGTGAAATCCAACATAGCTTTATGGCAATCATTCTGCCAGTACAATTATTTCTGCTCGTGCAACAAAATGTTCTTCCCCCCTCTCCTCCCACCACACAACCCTGAAACCTGCTCTAGGTGTTCCAACCCTCTGGAGCAAAAGGGGGGGGGGAGGGATTGCCACTACACAAGCATAAATCCTTGTACTGACAGGACATGTTAGTAGAAAATCACCCATATTATTCCTCTTTCACAACAGAGTTTAAACACAGAACTTATGTTAAACTTTGTTTAATTCAATGTAAACCAATGGCTTTAATAGAATGCTTGATCATAGCAATAAGAAATGGATGTGTCGACTAAGTTTGGGAATGACAAGTTATGCACTGCAGAGGACTAGGAGCTACCTGAATTCTCTGTCTGAGATGCCATGGTGCCTTGAGTCAGCTCCACTCACTTATTCACTGGAGATGAACTTCAGAAGCTATGTTTTATTTTAAATTAATACCTTCAATGTAATTGATATTTTTTTTAAAAAAAGGAATATGTGAATGAAGAGCTAAGGACCTGACACACAGTCTAAAATTTGTTCCCTCTTGCAAAAAGCAATCTCACAAACTCTGTTCTAAAAGGTAGCAGTTAAAATATTTAACCTATTTCTGCTAATTTTGAGATGCAATGACCAGAAGATATCAGAACATTGATAAAGAGTGATTAAAGAATATGTTACAATGTCCCTATGCAATTTAAGACTGTTTGCATTTTTTGAAGTCTGTACTCCTATGCTCAACCTTACAATGCAATACTCTGGTTAGAGTGTTTCTTCACGAGAACGTCTGTTATCCAACTATCAAAACAAACTGAACACCATCAGTACAGGGATGACCTTATCCCTCCCTCACAATATACAACATTTTCCCTCAAGCTCTACTGCCTTGTTCACCAACTCAGCGAACATTATATATATATATGTATCACTTCAAATGCATTGTTACACAAAGCAAACACACATTACATATTTAGCTTCCCAAATGCACTACTGCCAAAACTTTTAACTTCACAGAGTAACAGACAGACTATACACATATGCAAAACATTCTCATCCTCAGTCTAAACTTATGCCACACTAAAAGTGTTCGCCTGATATCCTACGCATGCCTACTTGGCAGTACAGGACCATAATAAAGCTTACTTTCAAGTAAGCATACACAGTTGGTCTTTAAGGTGTTAGCAAAAAAAAAAAGTTTGCCCTAACAAATCAACATAGGCTATTCCGCTTGAGCGAACAGGCGAAGTATGGAACCCCATTAGGAAGAGTTATAAAAAGATCAAAGTTTTCAGAAGCCCATCTCGTCCACAGAGCGGCAAAGGAGGGACATGTGACTCGGGTTCTTGTTGTTGTCTGTGTCCCCCTCCTTCCCGGGGTGTCCCTGTCAGTGACAGCATTTACTCAAGGAGCCGACAAGCCCATTTCCCGGTCAGTCTCAAGGAGGCCGGGCTGCGGGGGGAGCGCGGGGACTTTCACAACTCTCGGGCGGGAAGAGCGAGTCGCCCTGCGGGGCGCGCGCGCGCCTCTCGGCTGCCAAGCGAGGTTTCCCCGAAAAGGCGGCGGAGGCTTTGCTCCCTGCCCATTTCCAAGTGGGTGTAGCGAGTGAGGCGAGCCCGAGCCAAAGGGACGGACGGAGGGAGGGAAAAGGAGGGTGCCGGCTCGCCCGCGGCCCAGAACAATAGAAAGCGCCTCACTCACCGCACACACAGCAAGAGAGCGACTGCCGGAAGTAGGGCAGCAGCTTGCCGATCTCGGCCAGGCACTGCGGGTCCTCTCCGGGGCCGTAGTTGAGCACCAGGCGACTGGCGGAGATGTACAGGGCTGTAGCATTCACCGGGTTCATCGCAGACGCTGAGGCCGACGGCTCCGGGCTGAGAAGAAAGCGCGGCTCCGCGCCCGGGCAGGGCAGGCAGGCCGAGGGGCGGCTGCGCTCCTAGCCCCGCATCGAAGCGCCCTCACAGCCAGGGCCGGAGCCGGGGCCTGCTGCTCCTCCTCCCGCCACCTCCCCCGCCGCAGCTCCTCTTCGCGCCGAGCGGCGGCGGCCCAGGCGGCTACTCCAGGCGGCCGGCCATGCCGGCCTTGCTCGCTCGCCCTCCCGGGGCGCCTCAGGCGGAGGGGAGGCCCCGCATGCGGGGGAGGGGCCGAGGCAGGATCCGCGAACCCAGCGCGCAGGGCGACGGCCCGGGCCCGGCTCTGGTAGGGGCGGGGGGGGGGAGGCGCCTCCTCCCGGAGTTTCAGCGCCGCCGCATCACCGCGCGGCTCCCAGGGCCTCCTCCGCGGGGCCAACGGCTTCGCTACTCCCGGCCGTTCTCGGCGTCAGAACCATCCACGGCACCCCCCCAGCCCCAACGTCAATAGCAACCGTTAGATCCAACCGTCACTGCGTAGCCATCACCGCGGCCGCTGGGTTCGCCACTGCGCATGCGCGGCCATTCCCTCTCTTCCTCTCTCAGCACACCCACCCCCTTCGCGTCTCGTCGGGCGCCCGAGCCGTCTTTCCCAAGCGAGCTGGGCGGGGCTCGGGAGGCGCTGAGCGAGCCCGACCAAGGCCCAGTGTCTTCCTTAAAGCCGGTTAGCGGTAGCGCTGCCCCCGGAGAGACGCGGCGTTCGGGAACGTCATCCTCTCACCATTATCAAAACAACGCTCAGCGGCCCCGCACGCTCCTTACGCCAGGCCTTGGCGGAGCTTCCTTCCTGTTTTGAATCTCGGCGCCCAGATTGGGACGCGCGAAGGACGGCGAGGGAAGTCTCTGAGCGCCCACAGAGTGTTGTTGGCCCGTCGCCGCTGCGAAACTCGCAGGCAGACGCGGCCTCCCTGGGCGGGCTCGTTATTTTAGTAAGGAAAAGCACTGCCGGAATAACCAGATTGGCCTTCTCTAAAGAACCCAAAACAACCTCGACACTTGCACAGTTAATGAATACAGTACTATACTCTCCAAGTAAAAACACAAAAAATTGCAGCCCTTCAACAGGACCCGGTGCGCGTTCACTCAGAAGTACGTTCCGCTGAGTTTAAGGGGATTTACTCGCAAGTAACTGAAAAGCCTTGTTTCACTCGAGAGTATATACACGTGTACTTACAGTTGGGCAACACCTTTATTAGAACCAAAGAAAATCGTGGCAAGCTTCGAATCTCCCCAAACTCTTAAATTATTCAATTTGTTACGCAAAGCAGAAATATGGGAGGAGGGGGAATAAAAGTTAAAAAAATCAGGCCAACTGTCAGCTTGAATTATTGTTTTTAGTTTTAGAATAATCACTTTTGGGCACAATCCTGTCTACCATAGTCATCACCCACCTGCAGAATATTCCCATAGATGCAGTAGAACCAGATTGCCATAGATGAACGGAATGCTATGTGAAGGCAGAAGATTTTAAAGTGTTATGAACTGCCCTGGAATCCATTTTGAAGGGTGGCATATTAATATAATAAATAGATTCAATAGGAGGACTGTACATTTCCAAAACTGCCAGCCAACTTTTTATCTCCCCTCAGTATCCATTGTACTGCTCATTGAGTGGAGAAAAGTAACTGGCTGGGAATGTGGATGGTGTACCCAGACCTCCCTTAAAAGTTCTTTGGCAGTCTTCCTCAAGAAGCAGTGATAAAACACAACTTGTGCCCCCAAATCCTTTACCTTCCTACCCAGAACCTCAGAGCCCTTGGAGATCTGTTCAAGATTTCTTCTGATTGTAGCATTGGCTCACAAATGGATTGGCAATAGATTTCAGTCAGTGCGTTTTATGAGTTTAATCAACCTCTCCATCATATCTTGAACACATATTCCAGGAAGGCAATATAACTCCTGAGATGATATATCAGATCTGCACACAACTGCTTCTGACCCATTACAGTGGTACCTCGGGTTAAGTACTTAATTCGTTCCGGAGGTCCGTACTTAACCTGAAACTGTTCTTAACCTGAAGCACCACTTTAGCTAATGGGGCCTCCCCCTGCCGCCGCGCCGCCGGAGCATGATTTCTGTTCTCATCCTGAAGCAAAGTTCTTAACCTGAAGCACTATTTCTGGGTTAGTGGAGTCTGTAACCTGAAGCGTATGTAACCTGAAGCGTCTGTAACCCGAGGTACCACTGTACTTGGTGGACTTAGAAGTTTCGCTGGCTACATATAACTTGTGCTCTAACCTGTGTTGCTCAGTATATGCAGCTTGTCTGACAGAGTAACAGCCCTATCCTGCTGCTCCATTTGATCCTTGCCTCCTTGCCTGTCCTGGTTATGAAGTGAAAATGGTGAGAAGCTTGGGGAAATGTGAGCATATCATATCGGAATATATGATAGCAAGGGATGTAAAAACTGAGCATAGTCAGATATATACACTAGACTCTCGGAGAATCAGTATCAAAAAGCTCAATATCAAAAATCGATATCAAAAAAGTTGGATAGGAGCAATGACTATAAATTCTGAAGGTGTTCCAGAGGGATGACAAACTTTGAAGGCATGTTCAAGAAGTATTCTAATGGAAGGGAAAATTGGAGACATCTAATGAAGCCTATGTGACTGTATAGGGCCTACAGGGAGTTCTCTGATGAGCTGAGGCAAAAAAAACCCAACATATATAGGGGATGAAAGTCTAGGAGAAACGCGGAAGACCATTGTAATTTCGAGGAGTTTGCCAATTCATGACAGTATAATTTGTTTTTCACACACCTGTGTCAGGAGTTTCCTGGGTCCACTGTGTTCTAAGTGCTGATTGGCTAGTGGGGAGGATACCCAGTTGCAGTGAATTGGGTTGGAGACTCTCAGCTACTCCGCATTAGTCACACCCAGTGTCCCGGGCTGATCATGAGTGATGCCTGCTAACCAGGTGCAATCAATCAAATCAAAGTTGGCTATAAAAGCTGTAGGCTGAAGGGACTCAGGGAGCTTCTTCATAGATAGAGGTATCAGATGCTGTCGGCCGGGGTCTCTCTTGCTGCTTTACTGGGAGCTCTGGGCAGCTGAAGGGGAGATTGTGTGTGACTTCTGTCTGGTATGCTATAATTTGTGTTTTGTATGCTTGCTGCTATTTGTTAACCTTATGCAAATAAAGCATTACTTATTCTTTATCCACTGGTGTGCTTATTGGCTCCAGATCCAGAAAGAACCCTACCCTTGGCAGAACAGAAAGGAGGAACATATAATCAAGGATGAATAGCCTGAACCTGTAAGGATGATGTCAGATATGGTATGTCATGCGCTGGCTTGGTTTCCTTGTTGTTGGAATATAAAACGGGGGATTTGGAGGAGATGGAATTTCCCTCAGCGCCAACCCTAGATGTTCATATTAAGGCAGAAGCGCGTATGCAAAATGAGCCCACTGAGTAACTTCCAGTCTGAGGAGGTCATCTTGGCTGTCTTTTTCTGCAGGCCCAGATCATAGAGCCTGAGCTTTCACAGCCATTGCCCACCCTGGACAACCATTAGCAACAGCAGCAGCAGCAGCAGCAGATATGCTATATGCTTATGACAATACTTTATTATCTTGTTAATTATGCCTGTTTGAATGTTCATTTCATATTTGACTTGCTTTAGTAATGTTATCTTTTGAAATGTTTCAGATATTTTTGGTCAAGTTTGCCACGTTAATAATAATAATAATAATAATAATAATAATAGTATGTGGTCCATAATGGACCTCCTTTGTAATGTTTTATTTTGACTGGAATCATTATATTTGACTTTCTTCAGTTATGTTTTATTCTGGATTGGTTTTGGGGTTTTTTGCCAATTGCTTATTTTCCATAATTTTAAACAAATTGTCACCAAATTAATATAAATTCAATGCAAATTAAAAAACTAACCCCCCCCAAATGTCCCCTCTATTTTCCACCCTCCTTTGCTGCTCCCAATAAAATAACTTTTCCAACTATTTTTTCAAAATGCATTCATCCCTTCTCCCTACACATCACCTGTTCAATTACCAATTTCTGCTATGGCTTTTATACATTGTCATAACCTGTCCTCAAAATAGTTGAGTAGAGTAAATCTTCCATCTATCTATAATAGTCGTTCATCAATTTTCAAACATTTCCTTCTGATACCTCTTGAGTAACACTTTGTCTGAGAAAAACAGATATTTCTTCCTCCCAGACAACATACACACATTCCTCCCTAACATGGCCCTGAACATTGCTGCCTGACACCTGTCCCCAGTAATCAACTCAGCTGCACGGGTGTGGCATGCAGAAGGTGAAAATGAAACCCCTAAATATATAATAAACATTCTCCCTCTCTAACACTGCCAATCTCCCAGCATCACCCATCCTTCACATTTCGCCAAATTTAATCCTCAATTTTACATACAACCATCTTAATAAACAATCACAATCCATCTCTCTTCTGTCTGAAAGTCTCAGAAGTCATCAAGATGGTATACACTGTGGTCCATCCTGTCCCTTTCACTGTTCTTTTTTCCAGCTGGGGGGGGGCTGATGTAATCTCAACAAAATCCAGATCTCCTCTCCATCCTCCCCCCTAAACTAATAAATCTTCCTGCAGTCCATCCTGCCGACCCTCAGTTCCATTACATCCAACTCCAGTTTATTCTCTTCTGAGTGCTTAACAAACAGTCAATCCAGTTGTTACCCATCTTTTCTTCTTCACTATTTTCATTTCACAATATGAAGTTCCAAGGGGTGGTCAAAATCCCTCAAAAGTCCCTCAAGGTTGTTACTCTCCATCTTCTTTCAGGCAAAGTCCTTAGTTATAAAATAAATTAATTGCGAAGAGGTATCTTTAAAGTCCACTCGTCTTGAAAACTTTGCATTCCATTGCTTTAGATAAAAAAAAAAATGACTTAAAATATTGCCTCCCCTCTGCTCCTTCCACCGTTCAAGCAAAGCAAAAATTCGCTTATTTCATTCTTTCCAAACCTTTCCAAACAGATGATTTTCTCCTCCAGCATAAATCAGGATCTTTTCAGCGGGGTGCCTCTTGTCCAAATTCAAAGGTGTTCCACAGCTTACCACAGTAGCTTGCTTGGGCTGTCCTTGGATGGAGCCAATGAGCCCAGTGCCCTTACCTTTTTGTCTGGGAGACAGGGATTTCCATCCCCGCTCACAAACAAAGAAAAGGCATTAACGGATGACCATGGGTCTTGCCCTTTCAATACCCTCAAAAGGTTAGGGGAGACATGCCCCTTACCCCCCATTAATCTCTGTCTGGGATCCCTCCTGGGTGCCAGAGCTCGGGGTTTGCTGCAAACAGGAAGTCTTATTCTGGATTCTTTTAGTTGGTGTTTTTATGTGTTGCAAACCACTGAGATTTTTTCTTAAACATATAAAGTAGAATAGACGATGATGATGATGTTTCCTCCTCTGACTTGAAGAACTCCAGCTTGGAAGCCTAGTAGAAGCACGGTCTCCCCTTTCCATCAGAGGTGACAAGTGCTAAAGCACCTCTTGATCTCAACCTATCCATTTCCATCAAAACCACTCCATTCATGTCATCCATTGTTATGATTTTCTGATCCACAAATTCAAATAATTTTTCTTCTAAATCTTTATAAAATTCAGTTTTACTTCCATTTGGTGCATACACTCTGACTATTATCAATTTTTCGCCTTGCCATGTGACTTGTACCACAATTATCCTACCTTCTTCATCAAATATTTGCCGAGCCTCAAATTTATTTTTTATATACAAAACCACTCCTCTTTTCCTGCTTCTGTCTGATGAAACAAATTAATTTCCCAATTTTTATTAATCTATATTCTTCTGTTTTCTCGCCACATGAGTTTCTTGTAAACAAATAAAGTCCAAATTCCTTTTTTTAAGGAAATGTCCGATTTTATGTCTTTTCTTTTTATCATTCATTCCATTAACATTCCATGTCCATAATTTCAGTGCCATTTTGTGTTCCCTTTACCAATAAGAATGTAAAAGTCTTAAACTTGTCTTTCTTCCCCTTCTTCTTCTTCTTCTTCTTCTTCTTCTTCTTCTTCTTCTCTATCTATTTCTTCTTCTTCCAATCCTGCCGGTCCTGCTGCTCCTGCCACAATTGCTTCCTCCCCTTTTCCCAACTCTTTGTATCTTCTCAAATTTATGTGCTTCATCAGCTCTTGTAAACTTAAATTTTTCCCCTTTATAGTGAAAGGAGATACCTTCTGGAAATTCCCACATAAATTCAATTCCATTTTTTCCGTATTGCCTGTCTCAATGGTTTGTAATGGTCACGTTTTTCCAATAAACAAAGTGGGACGTCTTTAAAAATGATTATAAAAGCTCAGCCTTTTTTCCTCTGTTTTTCTGTAAAATCAAATTCTTCATTTCTCTATCTTTAAATATAATCAAACAATCTCCTGGAAATTAAATATAATCAAACAATCTCCTGGAAATTTCTTTGCTAAAAGCATTCTGAATTGTCTTTCTGACATCTCCCACTTCCATACTTAACCATTGTGCAATCTCCAATGTTAGCCTCTCCAGAATATTCTCCCCTTGTACTTCAGGCACGGATCTCAATCTCAAATTTTATTCTCTTTACCTCAATTCATTCAATTCATGTTGGAGTAGAAGGACGTTGATTTTTTTATTTTATGGTGCCGGACTGTGATCCCTGGGAAAGATTAGTTTTGACACCATCCAGTAGCCAAACCATGGTGGCACCTCCGGATGCTGCACCCCCCTGCAATCCCTACACAGATCTGGCTGGCACAGGGCACAAAACCACAGCTCGCCCCTATACCCGAAGCCAAGCCAGAGCACAACTAAGTGCAGTACAGCCATCTTCTCAGAAAAACTCTTCACAAAGTTCAAGAGGTCAAGACACGAAGGCTTGAGCAACTAATCCACACCTAATGACCCACCTAAGTGGTACTCAGAATATCACTCAAGAAATCACTCAAGATATCCCTCAAGTAATTAAGGAACAAAAGAAGAAAAGGCACACTAGCCTGGGAACTTCCTCTCTGCCCAGAACATTGGAGGCTATACACCACACCCCCTCAACAGTATTTATAGGAACTCAAACACTGAGATCCTGCTCTGTTCCAGTAACAAGAAGCCGAAAGCACCAGCCTGAAGATGACGAGTGAGACCTCGTCGAAACGTCGCCTAGACACCCCAACTTTTACACGGGAAGACACCCGAGGACACCAAAACCTGCATTCCTGTACCCGTGAAAATCTACGAAAGCATATATATATATATATATATATCCCTTTTTTCTCTTTTTTCTTTCTCCTTTCCCCCCTTTTTTCTCTCCTGTTTTCTTTTTACTTTTTTCTGAATTTGTTTTTAGTAATAATGGATTAAAATTTGGTGTATATGGTTTTGTTGGAACTTTGATTAAAGGATTGGACTGGCCAGGCAAGTGGTGGAAGAAATTTATTTATTTATTTATTATATTTATTTGCTGTCCCTTATTGTGGTTTTTAGATTTTGTCTCCCTGATTGTATTTTTTTGTTGCTCTTCTTTTTAATACTATCATTATTATTTGTTTATCCCATTTGACTATTTTATTAGGATACTACAATGGATTAGCCAAACAAGAGGCAGAAAAAGCTCCTTTCATTTTTTAGTGGTTTACTTTGAAGAAATTTGGTGTCCCAAAGATTGCTAATATAGTTGATTGGCCAATCAAGAGGCAGAAGGGTGTTAAGTTAAATTTGTGGGTGATACTTAGTGGCACGAAAAGAGAAATAATGTCTCAAACACCGAAGAAAACAGGAGAAGGTGGGACACCTTTGGAAAGAAGAGGATCAAAACAAGATATTGAATTTAAGGGAGACATTTTAAAAATGTTTACAGAAATTAAAAAAGGTATTAAACAACGTGAGAAGAATTTGGAGATGAGATTAGAATCGATAGATAAAAAATATGACATGACAGTTAATGAATTGAGGGGACAGATGAAGGAAATAACAAAAAGAATGCAAAACCTGGAAGAAGAAATGAAACGAATAAAACAGGAAGTAAAGGAAATAAGGAAGGAGCAAGAAAGGGTTAAGGGAGAAGTTGCAGAAATTAAGAAGACACAAAAAGAATTATGGGATGCGATTGCTGGACTCCTTTAAATTAGGAGGTTTCTTTCACAGAAGGCAGAGCTAACTACTCAAAGCTGCAGCTCTTATTTAAGGTTCAGTCTGAGGTTGACTGATACTGAAACATTTGAGTTCTGCTCTAGTGGAGTCTCCAGCCAGAACCCTGCATAGAACTGTCCAGGGAGCTGTTAAATCCTGAAGTCTAGCCCCACCCTGCCCAAACCTAAACTCTTACCTCGAGTCAGAAACTCTGTAAAACTGAGATTGTTCTTGTTACAGAACAATTTTTTTAGTCCAATTGTGTGTGAAGGAAGCCCCCTGGCAGCAGAGAATTAGGTGTGCTGCAAGCATAAATTGCACAACCGATGGTGGAGAATACAGCCCTGCAAGGCCAGCTCCAGGCAGCCCATACTGCTGCCACCTCCAGTCCAACCCAAATACCTCCTAGGGGAAAGTGTCTCATTAGCCTCCCAGACAAAATTGTTGAAAACCCAATTAATGTTTCTTAACTTTTTGGTCCAATTGCCTTCCAGCTGATGGATTTTCTGGCAGACCAAATGGAAACCTGTTTTGCCTGTCATATGTGTTGGAGCCTTGCCTGCTTCCTTAATGATTATGCCACCTTCCTTGTGGAATTTAAATGGGCATTTGAAGAGCCACATCAGAAAGCACCCAGTTGGTGGATCTGCCCTTTATGCCAGGGAATGGAGTTTGTGCTTGACTGTTTCAAGTACTGCCCAGCACCTAGAGTAGAATGAGGCAGCCCTCACGGATCAATTTCAGGAGGGCCTAGGGGGATCGCATTCAGGATGAATTTACTTAGATTGATGTACCTACACACAGCAGTGAGTTGGGGGTCACAGCAATCTCTTTCTGAGTAGTTGACTATTGCTGTGTCATGGGTAATGTGTGTGTGTGTGGTGGGGTATTATAGCATTGTTATTGGGATGTTGTGAAGTGCCTGTTGTGGTACAGGTATGTTTGTTTTTGGTTTCTGCTGTTACTATGTTGCTGACCTGCTGAGTGTGCATAGGATCTTAGTCCAGGTATAGTGGCAAAGGGTCAGACTGTTATACATTTGAGGAATCTGTTAGTGTTTTTAAGAAAGCAAGTCTCAGTTCAGTGGAAATTACTCTCAAGTAAGTGTGCCTAGGATTGCAGTCTTGAATGTGTGATTTTTTCCTTAACCCAAAGCATACTGGAAATAAAAATTATTGTAAATTGTTGTGCACACACACAAGTTTGTTGCTACTTATTATACCAGGTGGTTGCCCTTTGGTTTCTCAAATTGCAAGAAAATTAATGTAACTGAATGTATTTAGATAACAAAAGCTGCAGAAGAGGACAACATTGTGAGAGTGCAATCCTAAACCCCAGGTACATCACATCCTAACCTCTCCAAGCTGGTCTATCACTCACACCTCACCCACAAGTCAAACTGGCTTTAAACCAGTATAAATTATTCACCTCAATGCATCTACTTATGCCAGCTGCTAGTTTAAATTAAGCCAGCACAAGGTATACCTGTGTAGAGGGCAAAAGGGGGTATATCAAGGGTGGGAATGAATGTGCTGGGGGAAGTGAGAGGGGTAAACAGAGTGATGCTACATCCTAACTCAGTTCATTCACTGGTCCTGCTACAGATGTCAGTGAAACTAAATTCATACTTTCACTCTACTACCTCCCCCAGCCCTGGCCAGAAGCCAGTAGGACACAGCTAAAATTTAACAAAATACATGCCAGTATCTGCCTTATTTGTGGGAAAATGATTGCTTGTACATGAGAGCATGAGCAAAGTTCTTATTGTTACAGGGTGATTTCATAGCTAGAAGCATCCTTGGAGCATGAACAGCGCGTGAACAGCTCGTGCTGTCCCATATGATTGGCTAACGTAGCATGGCCTGATCGCTCGCATGGTCTAGTACCAAGGTCTTTATCTGCTGGCTAGAACAAATTGTTTGACTTGTATTTTTTGTATCTTTCTATTTCACACAATAAAAGCTGTGCTGCATTAGCCCTAGGAGCAGCCATATTTCGGAACCTATCATGGTGTGAGACTGATTTTCCTCTGAATGCCGAGCTGCAACTCGACAATTGGTGCCCCGTGTGAGGCCTTCGGACTTCACGTTGTTTTATTCAGCACTCACCAACACGTCGTTCATCCACGTAGTGGATCCCTGGTGAGTGCTCCCGTGTGACTGCCTTCAGACTTCACGTTGTTTTTCATTATTCAGCACTCACCAACACGTCGTTCATCCACGTAGTGGATCCCTGGTGAGTGCTCCCGTGTGACTGCCTGTTTTTCATTATTCAGCACTCACCAACACGTCGTTCATCCACGTAGTGGATCCCTGGTGAGTGCTCCCGTGTGTACAACGTTCAGCTCTCACCTCGCCCGGAAGGGCTGCAGACGCGTCGTTCATCCACGTAGTGGATCCCCGGTGAGAGCTCCCGTGTGAATGTGATTCTGGACTACGTTACGGACTTATCAGCACTTATCTCCGCCCGGACAGGGCAAAAGGCGCCTCTCTCTCATCCTCCTACGGATCCCTCCGGTAAGTGCTCCCTGCTCTTTTTGCAACTCTTGCAATCATGGGAAAATCTCTCTCTGCACCACAGAAAATTTTTTTTAAAGACCTTAAATTCCTTTTGGCCAGTAACAACCTTGCTGTTCGGAAAGCTGACCTTAAGTCCCTTATAAAAGCCCAACAGTTGGCCCTTGATCCCATGTATTGGACAGCTACCACTGCTGCCGCCCAAGAAGCTTTGTCCTCTGTTCCTGATGACAAGAATGAGCGCGGTGGCAGCATCAGACAGGGTCCTACAAAGCCCTATGGACAATTTGTCGATCGCTTGGATAACACTCTTAAGCGGCAAGTTCAGGACGTAGCAGCCCAAGAACTGATTGTCCGCCAGCTTGCGTTTGATAATGAGGACTGTAAGCAAGCACTGCGCCCTTTGGTGGCAACTCCCAATATAGCCATTGCAGATATGCTTAAAGCCTGCCAATCGGTGGGGACTGAGATGCATAAAGCTCGCCTGCTAGCCACGGCTTTGTCCTCCACCGTGCCCCAGAATCCTGCAAAGGATAAAACCTGCTTTGGATGTAGCAAAGTGGACCAATTTCGTGCGCAGTGCAGATCTACCGCACAACAACGTCACTCCAGCACAAAGTGCTCCATCTTTGATACAGGCCAGGACTTGTCAATTTTCTGAAGCACATCTTAGATCACATATTGGTCACCCTGGTTATTTGGCAACAGGAATTTTACGCCTGCTGAACTTCATTTCTGGTAGGAAGAAATATTGCAGCGTCCTTTAGTGTCATACAGGTTGCTTCCAGATCCACAGTGGAAGGGTCCAACTTCTTTGATTTCACCTAATCTCAACCTGCACTGCAATTGGAGACATCGCCATATTGATGTGCCCTGGATAAAGTCACCTTCCACAGCTGTTCCAGTGTTTCTTGGCACGTTGAAAGACCATCTTCATCTCCACCGCATTGGCCCCCCTTTTCCCTGGGAAGCCACTTCGACAATCAAATATCATTACAGTTTTGTTGCCTCTTGTTTGGGAAATGAGCCTGGCTTTGAAGGATGCCCTCGCCGGACCGGCATCGCTTGGATTTTACCCCACAGATCTCTCCTTCTTTTCTCCTCCCTCAGGATTCCTGCCCTATGATGTGTTCCCCTGAGCATGTACAGAGGGCTGTCTTGGAACTATTGTGGACTCTTGGCAAGGGAGGGGGTGAGGGATTTCAGTGTGTTCCAGTTGTTTCATTCTTGTGCTTTGGCATGGTTCCCGGACAGAAAGCAAGTTGCAATATGGTTCTTCAGCAAGGCCTGGAAGACAATGGGCTCTGTTCTCTACCTTGTTGCAATTTTTTTTTAGTTACAGCAAGCAGCATATGCTTAGCTACTGCTTTTTAGCTGCTGAGAAAAATGATTTTAAAAAGCTTTGAGCTTTTTTTGGTGGTGGTATTCTAGCATTCCAGTAAATGCTTCATATAAGATTAGCAATAATATGAAGGACAATCGTATATGTTTATCGCCTGTGTTTTGTTGCTTGCAGAAATAGTGTCTTATTGTTTTCGTTTTAATCATAATAGCAATAACTTTTTAGGTCATTATCCATATTGTAATTGGACACATGAATACATTAATGGATCTTCTTGTTTTTTTTAATGTTACCACTTCTGCCTTCTTTAGGTGCAGCCATGAATTACCGTGATTTGCATAAATTGGCAAACTGGACAGAAAATTTGTTTAATTCCACCATTTTGGCTTTAAAAATGATTAACAAAGAAATATCAGAAATAAGAAATGTAGTTCTTCAACATCATTATGCTTTAGATGTGATCCTTGCTTCTAAAGGTGGAATTTGTGCCTTAATTTATTCTCATTGCTGCATGTATATAACTGATCAATCGACCAATATCTCTGCTACTATTGATCATATGGAACAAATGATAGCCCGTAATCCTTTGAATCCACCTGAAGGTTTTGATCCATGGGAGTGGTTGTCTTCTTGGTTACCTAATGGATTATGGTTAAGAAAAATATTATTGATTGTAATTGCATGTATTGCTGGCTTCATTATGGTGTGTTGTTGCATTCAATGCATACCCTCTTTGATTTCCCAATGCACTGCATGGTGGTACCGACCACGGCCCACCACAGGGGTTACAAGAGGAATTTATGTTGCAAAGTGTAGTCGCTTAGGCAATGAAGTGTACGATTTGGACTGATGGTCCCTCTTTTCCTCTAATAATATAAACAAGAAAAGGGGATATGTGGGAAAATGATTGCTTGTACATGAGAGCATGAGCAAAGTTCTTATTGTTACAGGGTGATTTCATAGCTAGAAGCATCCTTGGAGCATGAACAGCGCGTGAACAGCTCGTGCTGTCCCATATGATTGGCTAACGTAGCATGGCCTGATCGCTCGCATGGTCTAGTACCAAGGTCTTTATCTGCTGGCTAGAACAAATTGTTTGACTTGTATTTTTTGTATCTTTCTATTTCACACAATAAAAGCTGTGCTGCATTAGCCCTAGGAGCAGCCATATTTCGGAACCTATCATGGTGTGAGACTGATTTTCCTCTGAATGCCGAGCTGCAACTCGACAATTATTAGTATTGTTCTGCTAGTTGGGGCATTTATTTGAGGCATTTTTACTCTGCTGTCAGTTGAAATTGATCCCAGAATAGCTTACAGATAAATAAAAACCAAGACACTCAGCTCTCAGGCAAATGAAGCAGGGAAAACCAACAAACTCAAGCCTCAGTTTTTCTTGTGGAATGGCTGCTGTTTGCCAATGGTAAAGGAAGAGCCAAAGATAGCTAGTCTTTGAGAAGAACCAATGGAATAGCCCTGCTTCCCTTCTCTCCCTTTTCTGTAGGATGATGGTTCTAAAGAATCTATTAATCCATTTGCAGTGAACTGTTTCTCTTGGAATAATCTCTCTAGATTAATATTTCTGTGCTACAATATGGGCATGCTGCTCCATCAGGTAAAAACAACATTCATTATTGTGCAAGTGGGCTTCCCAATCTTCTCACCTTGCTGCTGTAGGATGACTACATTCAGTCAATGATATTTATTTCACTGGTAGAGATACATTTCACCAACAATTTATAAGAGAAATCTCTCAGTTCAAGTATAAACTTCTTAAATGTTTTTTAAACAAACAGCAAATAAAACAGTTTGTTATGGCTCTATTGTATGCACCCCTGTCTTCAAATGGCGAGAGACTCCAGAGTTCTCAGCTCTTATCCAGGGTTCTGTTTTCTTGAAATGAAAGTCGCTGGAGATTGTGGTGTCTTCAGGATATGTCTTCAGGATATATGTCTTTATTTTACACATATATACAACCTGAACATAGGATGGAAGGGCTCACAGCATTAACACTCCAGTACATCTTGTTTCTCCATTAGGTTTCTAGGGATGCCTCCTGCCTAAACCATGGTAAAGTCACTATGGGCTGAAGCTGAGAGAAGGGGAGACAGTCTCACACACAAAACAGCACCCTTGGTCTATTTTTCTCCTTCCTAAAATGACATGGTATTCAGTCAGGTGAGATGGGAAAAGGCCTACCCTCTGTAGTGGTGGGGGAGGGCCTCAGGAAAGCATCTGCCCTTCCTTGTTCTCCAGTTTCTTTGGAGGTTGTTGCCATCATGAAATATACTCAGAGTAGAGTGTGAATTTCATGCTCTTTATTCAGCTCGTAGTAG